GAGAGAGAGAGAGAGAGAGAGAGAGAGAGAGAGAGAGAGAGAGAGAGAGAGAGATATCCTAGGAATCAAAGCCAGGGCCTGTGCGGGAGTTAGGTCTGAAGTGTTTGAGTTTGGCCTGCCGTTTTGCTCAGAGTATGTGCCCTAGTGGTGTCTAACGTAGAGACTAGAGTTTGTTGGGTGTGGTTCCCTTGCAGCTGTAATAGTCTGAACATGTGACTCGAGGCTTTTGCAATGCAGCGCAGCCCCTACCTGTACCACTTCATTCAGGGTCAAAGAAACAATGATGTCCTGCCACCCTGGAGGAAAAGTTATGTCCCCCTTGGAGGGAGCTGCAGTACTGTGCCTTCCTGAGGAGCTTCAGGATTGTTTTGTCTATCTGTACTTTCGGGTGCAACTTTGAAACCCACCCTTATCTAAGACATACTCTCCCATAGAGCTTTTCATTTTTTTGTTAGAAATGGGTGGCAAGGGCTGGGGATTTAGCTCAGTGGTTCTACCACCTGCCTCGCAAGCTCAAGGTCCCAAGTTCAATCCCTGGTACCAAAAAAAAAAAAAAAAAACAGAAATGGGTGGCAAGACAATGTTCTTATAATTGCTCTAACCTCCCATTAGGAATTTCCTGGAAAAATGGATCTCCACAATTTACCAAGTTATTGTCTCTGAGAAAAATCAAATGAAATGTCACTTAAAGCTGGGTGTGGGGCACTTGCCTGTAATACCAATATTCTAGGTGACTAAGGCAGGAAGATCACAGGGACCAGCCCAGCCTGGGCAATTTAGCAAATTAGTGGGACTATCTCAAATGGGTCTGGAGATGTAGGTCAGTGGGAAGACCCTGGTGAATCCCTAGTACTGTTTTTTTTAAGGGGGCAGGGGGGTCACTTCATCCATCCTTCCTAACTTGAGAAATATATCCGGTCAAAAGATACCCTAATAGAGATTTTAAATCTGCCATAAGTTGCAAAAATCTTAGCAAATCTGTCTTGCACATAGAGGATAGGAATTGTACATATTACTAAAATGTAAGCCTTTATGCTGTAAGTGCAGCTCATTACCAGGTGTGTGGTGTGTACTTCTTTTAATTTGCCAGTTCTGAGGGAAAGGGCTAGTCCTGGACAAGGACTAGAGTTCATCCACTGACTCTGAGCAAACTGCCTGTTTCCCTCCTACCCATCAAGAAAAATCATTCTTAGCATGTTCTTTTTTTTTTTGGTACCAGGGATCAAACTCGGGTCCTTGCGCTTGTGCAGCCAGCGTCGAAACCACTGAGCTAAATCCCCAGCCCTCTTAGCACGTTCTTAACTAGAAAGGAATCCTAGCATCTAGTTTCTTGTGTGACTGTGATGTCTGAATTTAAATTCTGGCACATAGATAGGTTCCACTTAAAAGAGTACCTGTGAAATCAGCTTCCTGGAAAAAGAAAAGTGCCAGGTATAAAATAGTGATACATATTACTATACCGTTGGTATTTGAAATTGAATTTAAAACAGGGAGACTGTAAGAAAGACTTCTGTGAAATCAAATTACCATTATGTTGAGGAGCAGCCAGTTTTTGTACTGTTTTCCTACACTTTGTCACCTAAGCTGTGATTGAAAAAGCCACTGTCATTTGAAACTGAAAGTGCAGGCAGAAAAAAGGTACAGCTCAAATTGAAAAAGCATTACTTAGCTAGTTGATTCAAGCTTATTTTGTGCCTGACACCATCCCCACACCCTTGGAGTAAAAAGCCCTAAAAGCAAATGGCCATTTGCTAAACTCTTGAGTGAGTGCAAATTCAGATCAGTTTATGCCAGTTTTCTTTGTTGTTGTTGTCCATTGGTAGGGAGCCTTAACAGTAAAACCTCAACTTAACAATAGACCTGAACTGTTAGTAATTGGAAATATACATACAATTAATTGGATGATTAGCAAAAATAAAGGGGCATTTGTGAATTACCAATTGATCACAATGTGGGAAGTTCGCCCTCTTTCTAATTTAGTCATCTCTCTTTTTCTTGATACAGTAGGGAATTCAGGATCCAGAGATTAAGTTACTTGTTCTTTGTCAATTTAATTTTTAGAAAATGATTAGCAACTCTTGGGCCTGAGGTGCACATATGTCTGCATTTTTGTCTGGCTGTGGTGTCTTACACCAGTCAGGTCTGTAATACCAAAGAAGTCTTGGAGCACACTCTTGGAGTAGGCCTGGATAAACTTTTGTTTGTTAACCACAGCCTGGCAGTGAGCTGGACAACTTGGAGGAGATTTTGGATGATTTGCAGAATAGTCAATTACCACAGCTTTTCCCAGACACGAGGCCAGGCGCCCCTGCTGGATCAGTTGACAAGCAAGCCATCATCAATGACCTCATGCAGCTCACAGCTGAAAACAGCCCGGTTACACCTGTTGGAACCCAGAAAACAGCATTGCGAATTTCACAGAGCAGTGAGTATGAGATATTGCTGGTTTCACCAAGAGATTCCCATATAAACACTATCAGGAACAGAGCTTATTAAAGTATGATACAAACAGCTTAGTCACTTAGTGGTTTTTGTGGTCAAATAGCACCATCTACTGTCCGAGTCCTTCACAAGTGGTATTCAAAATGGATTGTGGTAATGTAGTCAACACGGTGCATGCTGGGAGATAAACCTAGGTTGATAAAGTTCCTCAGCTGATTGTTATGTATCCCTTCATTTCAGTTACTACCTTAAGACATGCATTTGAAGTTGTCCAATAGTTCTGAATAGACGAAAATACTTTTTTCTGTAGCAGGGCCATATGTATACAGATAGATAACCTCTTCAGTGTTGGTGAACAAAACGACAGTTTTTCTTCAAATACACTTTGACTCAATATTGGCAGCATTTGTTCTCAAATCAAAAATGGCAGCCATCAGCCCCATCATAGAATATCTTTTAATTACTAGGTGTTTTATCAAGTGATTTGTGCCCATTTTGAAAAGAATAAAGCAAAATAAAGATGAGTTTTTGCCTGGTATCTCTTCAAACCTGACTATTTTGGGGGGGAGAACAGGATCAATTACAGACCCGGAGAGATGACAAAGTGAAAGAATTGAAATGGGGGTAAGAAACACACTAAAAATTTGTGCTTATTAATTAGGGAAGTAAAGAAGGACTGTGTGGGGACTCATGGCTCCTCCTCTGTCTGTAGCTCCCGATTCTATTCAGATTATCAAGTAGTAACCAGATAATTAAGTGTGGACATAATTCCCACTCTGAGCCTTAATTTGTCTAAATACTTTATGTCTACTATGGATTGTAAGAAATTACTTTAACTGCTATTCAGACTATATTTATGTAATTCATAGAAAAGTACTTGATATTATCTAATAATTTAGTAGCATAAATTGTCATTTACATCTTAGTATTTTAAAGTTTAATAACATTGTTATCAATTTAATGATTGTAGTGCTTAATACACAGTAAATTCTTGTGAACTAACCATAAAAACCGTATAAATGTATCCAGAATTCAAAGAAGCTGTACTTAAAAGAAGAAGCTGTAATTTAATGCTGCATCAGATTACACAGTGTACATACAAAAGACTTTTAACATCCAATGAAGAGCATCCACTTTTAATTCTAATCCTAGGAAAGTCCAATTAGGAAATGGTACTTTAATTCCCAAACCACACGTGTGGGTTTTGTTCTGTATGCAAGACATGTTTATAACTTCATTACTACGAAAAAGTAATACTCCTATGTTTGAATAACCTAACATGGAAAATTATATTAATGATTTACTTAGCAGACGTAGTTGAATATTAAAAATTACTGTGGAGAAGCCAGATGTAAATAGAGCATGGCTGTAATCCTAGCACTTGGGAGGCTGTGGCAAAATGACTAAGTTCAAAAGCAGCCTGGGCTACATAGACCCTGTCTCCAAAGGCGAGGGGTGGGGTAACATGGTAAATAACATGCATGTGAGTCTTCTTTTTTTTTTGCAAGATCATCAAGAATTATGACTTGCTGATTAGATCATATGTTACATTTTGGTGCTGCTTGTTTTTTATCTGTGATTTTTGTCTTGCACATAGGTAGTTGATACCTAACTTGCAGATCTTTGTTATTTTACAAAACAACATTTTCCCTAAACACTACTAGTGTTAATATTCTTTTCCATTATCCTGTAATAACCTCTAATTTTTATTTGTTTTCTCCTTAGCTTTTAATAACCCACGACCAGGGCAACTGGGCAGGTTATTGCCAAACCAGAATTTACCACTTGACATCACATTGCAGAGCCCAACTGGTGCTGGACCTTTCCCACCAATCAGAAACAGTAGTCCCTACTCAGTGATACCTCAGCCAGGAATGATGGGTAACCAAGGGATGATAGGAAACCAAGGCAACTTAGGGAATGGTAGCACAGGTAAGGGCTGGAATGCACTGTTCTTTATTGGTGGGTTATTTCACTTCATGATGTATTCATCCACATCAAACTAGTAGAGTTTTTTCATTGAGCATGTTAGAAACTAACCTGTGAAAATAAGAAAATGCTACAGGTTTTCAGTGTGAGAGTGCCATATCAGAAACCATTTCAGTAAGCTAGCCATTTTATTCTATGATTGTTACTTTGATGAGGTTTCTGATCATTAGTCGTCTAATGTAGGCTTCACTTCTACCCCAGTTACTATTCCAAACACAAAGGATGTTTGTAAATAATTTGGTCATTACTGGTTTGTTTGTTGTTGGTTTTTTTTGGTACTGGGGATCAAACTTGGGTCCTTGTGCTTGAGGGTCAGGCGGCAGAACCACTGAGCTAAATCCCCGCCCCTGGTCATTGCTAGTTTCCAGTGGTAATCTGTAGATGACTGTGAAACCTACTGACAATTTGTACTTAACAGAATTTCAAATTGAAAGCTTAAAATTCAACCAGACTTTCATACTTCTAAGTGATCCATTTCTCATTCAGAAAAATATCAATTAAAAGTGAAGAACTTTAGTTGTGCTTCGGGATGGGTGCCTCTAGTCCAGGCTGCCTGGGGTGCTGAGGCAGAGGGTCTCTTGAGCCCATGAGTTGTAGGCCAGCTGGCGCCATGTGATGAGACCCCATGTCAAAGAAAAGTAAAGAATTGTAAATAGTGATATGCCCGGCCTGATAAGTTTCAGATCTGATCCGTGGCTCCATTTCTGAAGATAAAGGAAGTTGCCTGTGATCTGGTGTGGACTTTGGCCTACTGTAATTTCAGTTGTCTGCCAAATTCCCCCTGCACACTTTCGCAGAAGGTACCATATTACCAAGCTGTCATCCAGATGCAGACCTAAAATCATTGCTGCAGCAGTGATTGCCATCACCACCACATCCTGGACCTTAGAACATCTCTTTATTAGCTGGGTGTGGTGGTGCTCACCTATAATCCCAGCACTCTGGGAGGCTAGACAAGTTTAAGTTTAGACTTAACAACTTACTGAGACCCTGTCTCAAAATTTTAAAACGGCTGGAGGAGTAGCTTAGGTACCCCTGGGTACCATGCCATGTACCACACATACATACTATCTACTAGCCATTTACTTAGCTCTTTTTATGGCATAGAAGGATGCTGACTTTTCTAATATAGGCTTGCTCACATTTAACAGCTTTCTTTCTTTGTCTCGAGGAGGTACTAAAAGGTACTAGAGACAAAAGGCATAGAAATAGATATTATAAAAAAGAAATTAGGGCCGGGGATTTAGCTCAGTGGTTTCACCACCTGCTGCGCAAGTGCAAGGACCCGAGTTCGATCCCCAGTACCAAAAAAATAAACAATAAAAAAATAAAAATAAAAAAGAAATTATAGTTGTGGATCTTTTTAATTCTTACTTTAGTCTGTAACCTATCCATTGTCATTTAGGTAGTTAACTGGATATAAAAGTTCCATGTGTACCGGGGATTTAGCTCAGTGGTTCCGGAGCCTGCCTCACAAGTGCAAGGTCCCGAGTTCCATCCCCGGTACCAAAAAAAAAAAAGTTCCATGTGAGGGCTGGGGATTTAGCTCAGTGGTTCCCGTGCCTGCCTCCCAAGCGGAAGGTCCTGAGTTCTATCCCTGTTACCAAAAAAAAAAAGTTCCATGTGAGCCAAGGATTTAGCGCAGTGGCACTGCACCTGCCTGGCAAGGTCCTGAGTTGGATCCCTGGTAACGGATGCGGGGGGGGTGGTTTCCATGTGAGGGAAAAAGGTAGATTTGTAACATTCTGTTATTGGTAATGGATTTATCGGAATCATGAACTGTGTTGTATTAGTTTTTCCATTGAACAGATAATTATTTCTTGCCTGCCATATGTGCCAGGCACATATGCTTGATTAATTTGTATGTTCTTAGAAATGGTACCATATTGATTTTGTTATTTTAAGATAAAATACTGATTTGTATAAAATTCTACAAGAGCAAAGGAGCTCATGATTTATTAAGGGTGACTCCTCAGCAGAATACAAGTTCTGAGTTGTAGGGATCTTATATAGTAAGTTGGGAGTTTCCTGAATTAAAATCTGGGTAGTCTAGGGCTGGGGATTTAGCTCAGTGGTTCTGCCGCCTGCCTCACAAGCACAAGGTCCTGAGTTCAATCCCCAGTACCAAAAAAAAAAAAAATCTGGGTAATCTAGAAATTAGTGCTGTCTGGGCTATGCAGGTCATATGGTGCCCTCACTCTGCTTTCAAAAACAAAACAAACAAGAGTCTGTCCGAATTACTGTATTAGCATTGTCAAATTAGGGTCTCTCTTCTGCTTTCTAATCTTGTTATATTATTTAAATCGACTTACAGAAAATAAAATGCCTTTTCTCTCATAGTATCTTTGGATAGTTCCAAAATAATCTTAAAATGGTTTTTCAAATATTAATATTGTTCTAACTTTTTAAATCTTGACTAATTACCCTTTTTGTCATCCTCAATACATTTCTCATTTCACAAGAAACACCCAAGATACGTGCTTTCTACTTATTAAATGTACTTGATTTTTATCAAAGTTACAGTGAAGAAAAGCAAGCTATGTATTTGAAAGTAAAACCTTTGTACACACATCATTAAACATTTCACATTTCATTTGAGTGTTTTCCCCTTCAGAATGTCAGGTCTTAGCCAGTGTTCTGCCATTGCCAGCGTCTCAGGGACCAGGCCAGATCTTTGCAGGCCAGGACAGAGGAGACATTGGATCCTGCTTGGCAGTGCTGTGCTCTTACTGTTAGGTGTTCTCAGATAACTGTTAAAATCTGCAGCGCAGCTGTGCATGATGATATACACCTATGATCCCAGCACTCGGAAGGCTGAGGCAGGAGGATCACTCCAAGTTCAAGGCTAGCCTAACTACATAGTGAGACCCTGTCTATAAAAAAAAAATTTATTATTTTTTTTTTAAGAACAGAAGTCTTTTCACAAATCTGTCCTAACCCATTCTAGATGTATATAATCAGGAAGGCAGTGGTCCTTTGCCTTGACTGTGAAGAGCTATAGTGAATATCTGAAAGATCCTTTAGTTTCGCTATCAGAGGCTGTCCTTGATCGGTTTTGAAGTTTACCAAATTTTAATACTCTGAAAAGGTTTTGAAGATTTAGAAGTCTTGTGTAGGTTTGATGTTATATTCTCAAATTTTGCTTTATAATCAAAATTGTATTGATTATCAGTTTTTACCTTGTTCCTTTTAATCTCACCTCCATTTGGAAAGTAAAGCATTGACGTGTGTCAGCTAATGTGATTCACTTCCTGAGGAAGGAAGTTGAGGTTATCCACTGGCCCAGAGCACCTGTTTCTAAGTACACGTGGGAACAATTTTAACAGCTTTTCCAAACTATAAAGAGTGCCAAGTTCATGTTGTAAAAACTTCATAGTAATTGTCAATTCTTGTTTCTTAGCCCAGGGCCCTTGTCTGCCCCATTGAGGGTGTTAGCTCTTGGGCCACGTGTGGATTACAGAATGATTGTCTATAACAAGTAAAATAGGATGTGTTCAGGTATGCTAAATATGTTGTCAGTGGCTGCATCTCTCAGCTTTCTTTGCCTTGCATGCAGGGATGATGGGTAGTAATGCTTCCCGGCCCACCATGCCATCTGGGGAATGGGCATCGCAGAGTTCAGCTGTCAGAGTCACCTGTGCTGCTACCACCAGTGCCATGAACCGGCCAATCCAAGGAGGTATGATTCGGAACCCAACAGCTAGCATCCCCATGAGACCCAACAGCCAGCCTGGCCAAAGACAGATGCTTCAGTCTCAGGTCATGAACATAGGTAAGGCAGTCCAGTGTACTTTGTTTACAGTCTTTCTGCTTCCTTTAAATGCAGTTAAAAGCTCTGTAAGTTCTTTCAGGTCTTGTTCCTGAATTGCAGTTTAAGCCTCCTGAGTAAAGCTGTCATAAGTGGGATTTTGCGGGAACTCTTTTGTGGTCTTTTATTTTCATTAAATTACTCGTTCACCTTTGGGGGAAAAGTGAATGAGAATGTCACAGTATAAACGCTATACATGTGATATTTTAAAGAAAGAAAAGGTTTAGTGGTATAGCCATAGCTTGTAACTGCTTTTAGGCTTTTAACTGGTCATCAGTAGCCTCCCAGGACCTTAAATGAGGATTCCTGGGCCACCACTTTAGGCTCTTAAATCATGTAACATCACACAGAATTTGAGCATTACTAGAATTCAGCTACACGTTATTAAAATCAGTAATCATACATTGTATGACAGCATTCATGTGTAATGCCCAGCACAGACAAATCTGTAGAGACAGAAAACAGTGTGGCTGCAATAGGACTGGTGGACTTAAGGGAGGGACTTACCCTAATGGTGAGGGATTTTGTTTTAGAATGAAAGTATTCAGAAATTGATTCTGGTGATGATTGTACAACCCTGAATACAGTATACTGAAGCCCATTGAATCATACACTTTATTGTTTTTTCTGTTTGTTTGTTTGTTACCGGGGATCAAACTTGGGTCCTTGCACTTGGGAGGCAGGCAGCAGAGCCACTGAGCTAAATCCCCGGCCCTGAATCATATACTTTAAATGTATGGATTTATGGTATATGAGTAATCTCAATAAAGTTGTTGCATTAAAAAATTTTGTGGTCACTGCAGCTCCTGCTTGAGGTTATTTTCTTTTTCTTTTTCTTTTTCTTTTTTTTGTACCAGGGATGGAACTCAGGCCCTTGAGGTTATTTTCTTTTTTTGTTGTTTTTTTTGTTTTGTTTTGTTTTTTGGTACCGGGGATCGAACTCGGGACCTTGCCTTGCAAGGCAGGTGGCAGAACCACTGAGCTAAATCCCTGGCCTTGAGGTTATTTTCTTAATGATTGACATATTAACCTTCCTCTTATCATGTATATTAGTGTGATTCAGACCATCAGTGTTTATGCACTTTTAATGTAGATACTGCACAGTGAGTAAGAGCTAAGTCATTCATGGAAAAAACGCCAGGCTTGTTTTGACAAGATAACAGAATTGTCATGCAAACTCTGGCACTTCAGGTTTTCTTACCTTGTTCCTTCATTGCCCAGCACATTTTGGCTTATTATCTCTAGGAGCTGACTTACATTGTCTTTCTACATAGAATATACTGGAGTAATAAGTAATTTCCAAACTTAAATTCATATCATTTGAGGGTTTGTGGCCTTATAAAATGTTTAAAAATACCTAGATTTCTATGCAAAATTAAACTAAGATTTTTTTTTTTCTTTGATACTGGGTATGGAACTCAAGACCTTGTATTTGCTAAGCAGGTATAGCAGCACCACTAAGAAATTTTTTTTTTAATATTTATTTTCTCACTTTTAAATTATAGTAAGAAAACCCTGATATCTAGAAATTAAAATTTATTCTCAGTCTTCGCTGGCTTTTGAGCTTTAGATATTGCTCTATAAACTTTATTGTGTAGCTGAATTTCTCTGATTTTTAAAGTCAAAAAAGCCATGAACTCAACAGAAAATTTGCTGTTGTAATGCTAGGAGAGTTACAGCCATTGATGATAACATAATAAGAGAAAAACTCCTATCATCCACTAGCTTTTATGCCTCTGGAAGACCTTCTGAGGAGTATGTTTGTGCTGTGTGGCTTCCCTTTGCCTGCCTGACTCTGGAGGGAGATCTAAGATACAGCAAAAGTTTAGGCCCAAGTGACCTAAATCAGCACTTTTTTGTTTGTTTGTTTGTTTGCAATACCCGGGATTGAACTCAGGAACTTGGCGCTTACAAGGCAGGCGAGGCACCACTGAGTTAAATCCCCGTCCCAAACAATTTTCTTTTTTTTCTTTTTTTTTGTACCGGGGATCGAACTTGGGTCCTTGCACTTGAACAGCAGGCGGTGAAACCACTGAGCTAAATCCCCGGCCCCCAACCAACATTTTTTGAAAGTATATTCCAAGCCTGGCGTGGTGGCACATGCCTGTAATCCCAGCACTTGGGAGGCAAAGTCAGGAAGATCCCCAAAAGTTTGAGGCCAACCTGGCCAGCCTGAACTACAAAGGGAGACTTTGCCTCAAAAAAACAAAAAGTATAGGCCAGGTTCCCACTGCCTTTCAGGACACCTGCAAGCCCCAAACTCCTTTCATCATCATAAACAGATGCTGCTTGCCTTCTGCATGTTACTCTGTCCCGAGTGTCCGGTGGGATTTTCTAGAGGCCCCGTGCTGTGTGGCATTATTGCAGTTGATGGAGTAGCAAAGCAGATGGGAGATTCTGCTGTCTTTTGTTCATCCAGACATCAGAGCAACTGACAATGTCAGTAAAATGAGCTTTTTTTACATTTTTCATCTTAAAGTGTTGCTTCTATTAACGTACAGCTCTTTTTGTTTGTTGCAGTGTGCTTTGAATCCATGGAGCACTGAGCTCCATTTCCAGCCCCTTTATTTGTGTATTTTTATTATTTATTAAATTGACCATGCCAGTCTCAAACTGATTTCTGGGTAGGTAACATTACAGACATGCTCCACACCTAGTTAATTGATTTATTTTTATGATTTTTAAGTGAATTACATTTTTTTCTAGTTTCATTTTCCTGCACAGTAAATACTGCTGAGGTATAATGCACATGAACAAAAACTAAGAGCACAGTATAGAGGGTTCTGTTAGAGCTTCTATTCATTCCCAGAAATGGGTGATTAACCTTGGTATTATTGCCTTTATTTCTATTTCAAACCAAAAGTTCATCTTATATTCACCAATATAATTGTCATTGTCTCTGTCTTTTGCATTTCCCATTAACCAGATATTTCATTTCTTTTTTGAACTCAGGACCTTGTGCTTACAAGACAGTTGGCGGAACCACTGAGCTAAATCCCTGGCCCTTCATTTTATATTACATAGCACAAATAGATGCTTCCTTGATTATATAATGTAAGGCTTTTTTTGTTCTCTTTTTCTTTTTTTTCCCCCTCCCTTTTCAGGGCCATCTGAATTGGAGATGAATATGGGGGGACCTCAGTATAGCCAACAGCAAGCTCCTCCAAATCAGACTGCCCCATGGCCTGAAAGCATCCTACCTATAGACCAGGCATCCTTTGCCAGCCAGAACAGGTGAGTCCTGAGATCCAGGATTGCTGAAAGAGTAGTGACCACGAGTTCTGTGAGTTGTTTTAGACCCATGCCTGAAGTTTGTTTCTTCTTGGTAGTTTGTACCTGATGTATTTTTGTTTATTGAGAACATACCAACTACTGGATAGGGAAGGAAAGGGCTAGGAAGGCGCCACAGGAAATCAGCAAATCTAGGACTTGCCTTTAAACAAGTTGCAGGTGAGTTAGAAAATAAATATGAGGACTAGGGATTTAGCTCAGTGGTTTCGCCGCGTGCTGTGCAAGCGCAAGGACCCAAGTTCAATCCCTGGTTCCAAAAAAAAAAAAGAAAAATATCCATACTGATGTAACAGGAGATAGTGTCCAGTAAAAGTGCCACAAGGGAAATCAGCCAGGTTTCTAGAGCCTGTCCAACTGGGATGACTGGAGAAGGCTGCAGCGTCTTGAAGAAAAAGTATGATTCTAAGAGGCAGAGATGACGGGGACGATGCAGCCAGCAAAGCAGCATCTTGGAGGCCCATAGGCTTCAGAAGGGACGATTTATGTTTAGGGTAACAGGAACTCATCTCAGAGGATTTTGGCCAGGAGAATAGAGTATAACAGGGTATAAAAGAGAATTCAGATTCTTCTCATTAAGTTGTTGAAATTTTTTGAAAAGTGATGTGGTATAGGATCAAATTTGATTTTGTTACTCTGATTTTAATCACTTCTGTCTTTTTAACTGATCATTTCTATTTGCTTTTGTCATATTTTTTTGTCTTTGCGTATTGTAATTTTACTACAGTGTACCTAGGCATAGATTTACTTATCTTCTTTGTATTTTGATATGTGCTATTTCATTTATCTGTGGATTCTTGTTTTTTATCAGTTCTGGAAAATTTGTAGCCACTTCCTCTTTATATTACTGCCTTTTCCATTTTCTTTATTCATTTCTGGGGTTCTGATATTAAATCTCTTAAAATATCTTCTGATATTAAACCTGTTAAAAGTTCTGTTTTTTAAAAAAAAGTTCTGGGGCCGAGGATTTAGCTTAGTGGTTCTGCAGCCTGCCTTGCAAGCACAAGGTCCCGAGTTCAATCCCCGGTACCAAAAAACAAAACAAAACAAAAAAAGTTCTGGCCCCAGGATTTAGCTCAGTGATGCTGCTGCCTGCCCTGCAAGCGCAAGGACCCAAGTTCAATCCCTGGTACAAAAAAAAAGTTCTATTTGCCTGCTCATTTTTCTTAGTCTCTTGTTGCTTATTTTTATTATTCTATATTTATACCTTTAAACATTACATTCATAGTTATTTTCTAGATTTCTTGATTCAGTAATTTCCATGTGTAGACTTCCATGTGTAGGGGTTCTAAATCTCACTCTTGACTCTTACTTAGTGTTGGCCTGCTCCTCTTTATGTTTGGTACTCTTTAATTGGGAGTTTATATTTGATCTTAACCAGTGAAGTAAGTGTGGTCTGAACTGAGGACACTTTTCTTGAGTGAAGATTCATGTGGGCCCTCTAAGGGGAAGGGGTCACTACTCCCTTGGGTCTCTTGCTGGTTCCCTATGACCAGCACAGCACTCTCAGGTTAGCTCTTGTGCCTGAGACGTCTTTGCTGTGGCCCAGCGCCCCAGCTCTCTTTTGCTTAATAGCATAGAAAAGCACCTGTCCCCAGTAGCTCAGGGATGCTTGAGTTTCAGCTCTTAAGCAGTTTGGATTGGCTTTGTGTTTGCCTCTTGGAGAGTTGTGCTGTGGGAACCCAACATCACCATTGTGTCGTAAAAAACAGGTCGCACTGGGTTTTGGCAGGGCACCTTGAGACCAAGCGATAGTGTTGCTCAAGCAAGAAGGGCAGGGGGAAGGTAAAGAGGCCACGGGGAATGGGTCAGAACCTCAAGCAGGAGGCAGTGTGGGAACAGGAAGGGTGCTGGCAGGGTATTCTGTGCTGCTAACTTGCTAGAAAACTTAACCAGGCGTGGTGGTGCACACCTGTTATCCCCACACTCAGGAGGCTGAGGCTAAGGCGGGAGGATCACCATGAGATCAAGGCCACCCTGGACCACATAGCGAGGCCCTGTCTCAGGAAACTAAAAAGAAAAATGAAAACTTACACTTCTAAGATTATTACTGAAGGAGCTTTGCCTGGAGGCTCTTAAGGGTTTTAATCAGTGGTTTAGTGCGGACCTTACTGCAGGGTAATCTTTCAAGGATTAATCAAGTCCAAACTGATCTGATATCATTGCCAAACTCAAATTTCTTAAAGATGGAATATATTTACAGAGCTTCTTCTTAATGCAGGGGGGAAAAAACTGCAGGTTTCAGATTGAATGCTGCTGTAGGAGGCAGTGCTTTCATTGTGTTGGCACTGCCCAGGCTTGGAATTCTGTGGAGGGCATGCTTTTCTTTCTGTATATTGAGGGGGTAATGAGATAATCTGAGTACTCAGTAATTGCAAACAGCAACAACAGTGACGTAGCGGAATATGGGCCCACCAGTAATGTGGGAGAAAAAATTAGGAGCAAGTTATTTCACTCAAAGAAAAATACATTAAGGAAGAAAAAATACATTAAGGAAACTTGGATAATTGTGGTAGGGAGATGAGGAAGGAATAGTGCTCGCCGGCTGCATTCTGCTCAGCTAGGGCAGAAGTAGGTGGCTGCTGTCTCTAAACCTCACTGCCCAAGAGTCACCTCTGGGGGCTCATTAAAATGCAGGTTTCAGCTGTAGGATTAAATTGGGTCCAGGATTCTGCATTTTTAACAGACCTCAGGCAATGCTAGCACCACTGGTCCTCCCACTGTGCTTTGAGTAAGATCCAGGCAGCAGAAAGAGGGCAAACTGCAACTGAGTCCAGCCGGCTCTGCCTGACACCCAAGGGCGGCAGTCAGAAAGCATGGCACACGAAGCCACAAGTGCACCTGCAGTAAACACACACAGTTGCCATGCTTGGACACTGGTTTCTCATGGTCCTTCCAGATCATTGATTCTAATTTCATGCTGTCACTGAGTAGTAGCCCTTTTCTAGATGCAGTTATTTGCTGTGTCAGAAACCCACCCATTCCCATGAAAACCTGTACAGAATACAGATGCATAGTGATTGAATCTTGTGTCTGATCGTTTTGGGATGAAATGTCAAAGACCAGTTTCTAAGGAGAACTAAGGCCAATGTCAGTATTTTTACTGTTAACCAAGCAGATGAGAGTTGTGTTAAGACAGAGATGGAAGCAGTTCCAGAATTGTCCTTGGTGGTGGGACAACGTGATCAGAGTGCTGTGCAAGGCCAGGACCACTGCTGCCATCTCTGCTCTCCCCTCTGGCTGTGTGAGAACCTCAGACAAAGCAACATTGTCACTACTTTTGTGAAGTTTGATTTCAGTTTTGGATTTGTTTTTGTTTTTTTGTTGTTGGTGGTTGTTTTTTGGGGAGTTTTGGTACCAAGAATCAAACTTAGGGCCTTGCACTTGCCAGCTAAGCACTATATTGCAGAGCTACATCCCAGCTGGGGTTTTATTGGTTTTTGGTTTGGTTTTGTTTTTTTTTTTAAGCAAAACATTTACTGGTACATTTTAGATATACATAATGATAACACCCATCATAGGGAATTTGCACCTGTACATGATATATCCTGCCCCTTCTTTTTTTCCCACTCTCTCCCTTCCCTCAACCCCTTCCCCCCCTCTCTCCCTCCCTGTATACAAAAGGTTTGTTTCCATTTTTTCCTTCTATTTTTTTTTCTTGTCCCTTCCTTCCTTTCCCCTCCCCCCTCCCTTGTTCTCCTTCCCATTTGAACATTTCCCAATATCTATTATACATTTTAGTCCCTATTTCCACTTTTGGTTTCTCACACCAGAGAAACAATCTGGTATTTAAACATGTGTTTCCAATTTAATTCACTTAAGAGTATTGTCTCAAGGTATATCGATTTAGCTATAAATGCCTCAAGTTCATCCTTCTTCGTGGCAGAGTAGTACTCCATTGTTTAAAAAAACCACATCTTCCTTATCCATTTGTTGTTGATGGGCATTTGGGCTGTTTCCAAGATTTAGCTATTATAAGTTGTGCCACTCTAAACATGGGTTTGCATATATTGCTGTGGTATGATCCTTTTAATTCTTTCTGGGAGATACCGAGAAAGGGAATAGCTGGATAAATGGAACCTCTAGTTTTAGTTTTTCGAGGAATCTCCACACTGATTTCCACTTGTACCGGTCTACACTCCCACCAACAGTGAAGAAGAGTTCCTTTTTCCCCCGCAGCCCTGCCAGCATTTGTTTTTGGTTGATTTCTTGATAGCAGCCATTCTTTCTGGAGTGAGATGGACTCTCAGAGTTGTTCTAATTTGGATCTCTTGAATGACCAGTGATGTTGGACATTTTTTAATATATTTATTTGCTGTTTCTGCTTTTTCACCTGAGAAGTGTCTGTTCATTTCAGATGCCCATTTTTGGATTGGGTATTTAAATTTGGGGGGGTCTGGCTTTTTTTGAATTCTTTATATATTTTAGATAGTAGTTCTTTAAGGAATAGCTGGCAAAAGAATTTTTTTGTGGGTTGTCTCTTCGCTCTGTTGGTGGTTTCTCATGCTGTGCAAAAGCTTTTTAGTAAGATGAGATCCCAGTTGTTGATTCTTTGTGTTCCTGTGCAACCAGGGTTTTGTTCATGAAGTCTGCCTACACCAGTGTCTTAGAGAGTTCTACCTGTTCTGTCTTCCAGCAGGTTAAGTGTTTCTGTTTTAATATTTAGATCTTTTATCCACTTTGATTTTAGGTTAGTATGTGGTGAAAGATACGGGTCTCAGTTTTCAGCATGTGGAAAGCCAGTTTTTCCAGCACCATTTATTAAAGAAGCTATCTGAATTCCAGTGAAGGTGTTTAGCTCTTTTGCCAAAGATAAAGTGGCTGAGTGTGTCTGGAGTTGTTTTTGCATCTTCTAATCGGTTCCACTGGTCCTTGGGTCTATTTCTTTGCCAGTACCATGCTGTTTTTATCACAGTAACTTTATAGCATAATTTCAAGTCAGGGATTGTGATGCCTCCTGCCTTGCCTTTGTGGCCCAGAATTGCCTTTGCTATTCTAGGTCTCTTCTGGTTCCAGATAAATTTTAGTATTATTTTTTCTAATCCTGAGAGATGTGCTGTTTGAATTTTAATTGGAATTGCATTAAATCCATATAACAATTTTGGAAGTATGGCCATTTTCATATTGGTTCTTCCTATCCAAGAACAAGGGATATCTTTCTATTTTCTCATATACTCTTTGATCTCCTTTTTCAGAGTACTATACTTGTTTTATTTTATTGTTTTGTTTTTTGGTACTGGGGATCAAACTCAGAACTTTGTGCTTGCGAGGCAGGTGCCGGAACCACTGAGCTAAATCCCCGGCCCAGAGTATTGTAGTTTTCAATGTAATGTCTTTTACTTCCTTCATTAGATCGATTCCTAGATATTTCATTTTTTAGATGCTATTGTAAAAGATGTTGTTTCCCTAATTTCTGTCTCTGTGAGTTTATTTGTGTACAAGAATGCTATTGGTTTTTGAGTGTTGACTTTGTATCCAGCTATGCTACAAAATTTGGTTATTAAATCCGGAAGTCTTTTCATGGAGCTTTTGGGGTCTTCTATGTAGAATATTGTGGCATTGACAATGATTTCAGTTTTTTAAGCCATTATCTCACTTTTATTTTAAATAATTTAGTTTGGAAAAATTGGTGGGAGAAATTTATGACCAACTATGGTAATAATGAATTTCTTTATTATCATAGAAATTACAGGTGATAAATAACCATTAGAAATGTATAACAATAAGGTTTCTTTTATTGTTGACTTTTCTCACTTAGTACCTGCTCTTTTTTGGCAGAATTTTAAAAATACTTGTGAAACTTAAAGAAATGGAAAGTGGTATGGTTTCTCAAACAAGAGTGCAGAATTTGACTTTATTTCTTCTTATTCACATCCTAATGACCTACTAGTTCATTAGTAAAAGGGTAATTTTAAGATACAGGGTTTCTGCTGGGGATGTAACAGCAATAAGCACATGCTTAGCGTGAGAATTTGGTTCAATCTCCAGCAACCCTCCACCACCACCAAAAAAAAGATACATCTGTGGGGGGTGGTCTGTTGGCTGTGTTTTCTGCTAGTGATTACTTATGCCACCAAGATTGTGATTATATTTATAATTGCCCAGAATGTAAGAGAATAACTTCTCCCTCTTGTTGCTGCTCCTTCCTCCCACTTTTGATGTACCAGGACAGCAGTAATCTGATCACACTTGAGTTTGAAAAGTTAATTGAAAGGGAGTTTAGCTGTGGAAGAGAAGCAGGAGGGACAGCCGGGAAATTTTCAGTGCAAGCTGAGCTGTTACACTGTCATACCAAGGACCAGGCAGTGACAGCAGGAGGAGTGAGGCAGAAGCACTCTTAAATGGCACTGGTAGCCATGTGGAGGTGGAGCTCAGCTTGGAGCTGGGGACAGCAGTTGAGGTGTGGGATCAAGGAAACACACAGCTGGACAGTTTTCTCTTACAAATAACATGGGCTGAAGGGAGAACGGAGATTGTGTTGCGGCAGTTTGCTGTCACTGAAATAATTGTTGGTTTCACTGCTCAGCCCTTCAGTATTTCAGGGTTCTAGGTCAAAGTATCATTAGGTTACCTTAAAAAGCAGCATATTGGACTGCATCAGAAAGATAAGCTCATCTCTTGTAAAGAATGAAATTGCTTACCTGTTTGCTTTTATTTTCTCTAAAACATCATATAAAAAGATAAACTAATAATATAAGATAGACATCTGGTAAAATACAAATATTTCTCTTCTCCATGTTAAAGTAACTCAGAAGCTCTTTTTTAAAAATCTTTCACTTGTCAAGTAATTTAAATTGTAAGAGTTTTTATACTGTGGAAATTAGAGTATAGTATTATGATGTTAGCACCTATTACCTTATATAATAACAATTATAATTTGCATATTCATGATCAACTTTTCTTATGTGTCTAAGAGGGGAAGGCTAATAGCTATATCTTTTGAGGGTTTTAAAAAGTGTTTGCAAGTTCTGCTTATGTATGACTAAGAAATTTCCTGGCTGGGAGTGCAGCCCAGGGATAGAGTGCTTATCTGGCTTACACAAGACTCTTGAGTTCGATCCCTAGCACTATAAAAGAAAACTCCCTAGCAGCTCAGTCAAGTTTATTGTAACTACAGCTGAGTTCGAGACAATTAATGTAGTTTTTAATGCTGCTAAAAGTTTGTAATCTCATGTAATTCATCATAGCCTCCTGTAAAACAAAGACTTGGGGCTGGGGATTTAGCTCAGTGGTGCCGCCGCCTGCCTGGAAAGCGCAAGGTCCTGAGTTCGATCCCTGGTACCAAAGAAAAGACTTGAAGTGAGCTGGGTATGGTAGTGTATGCCTGAAATCCCAGCACTTGGGAGGCTGAGCAGGAAGATTGCCGTGAGTTCAAGGCTAGCCCAGGCTACATAGTGAGTTTGAGGCCAGCCTGAACTACATAGCAAGACCCTTTCTCAAATAAATGAATGAATGAATGACTGGAAGTTGATAAGAGCTTCCTGCTAAAGTTCAGAAAAGTCTTTCATTCCTTCAAGTATTGAGGGATTGGTGTACATGTGTGAGATCCAATGGACGGATGGGCCCTGGACTCACACAGATTCATGTAGAACCTCAGCTTGTCAGCATCACCTTTGTAATCTTCAGCACATGCTTTGATATCTCACAAGCCTAGATTTGTGACTGGCCTATAATAGGATCACTGAGGATCTTGTATTAGATTGTTGGTTTTCCCTGTTGGTCTGGTACAGGAATTTGTTACAGAGAGCCTGGAAGTCAACTTAGCTTTTCCATCAGCCCAAGGTGAAGCTTGTCTCTTTGCAGGCAGCCGTTTGGCAGCTCTCCCGATGACCTGCTGTGTCCACATCCTGCAACAGAGTCTCCGAGTGATGAGGGAGCTCTCCTAGACCAGCTCTACCTGGCCTTGCGGAACTTTGACGGCCTTGAGGAGATCGATAGAGCCTTGGGGATACCTGAGCTGGTCAGCCAGGTAAGCACAGGGTGGCAGGGGGCTGTGTGCTCTGGTGGGCACAAAGGTGTTACAGGTAATGTTACAGAATAGTTTGACCTGACAGGCTGGCCATGTTTTCTTTCTCCCCGTCCTGTTAGTCTTACATAAACCTTTGTCCAAGAAGGAAAAACCTGAGAATGAGCTTTATATTCTGATTTAAGTGACTGAGCAGAAGGGCAAAAACTCAAGCCCAGCTCACCTTCCACCCTTGCTGGCAGGGAGGAGCAGGCAAGGGGCAGGGAACAGAGAAACTATGAGGAGCATTGCTGCCTCTGCCCGAGACCCTTCCCGGGGAGCCAACATGAGCCCTCCTACTCTTCCCCATACAGTGTTCTTTCCCTGTGGGCAGGAGTGCTGGAACGTAAGTTAGCAGAGGTCATTTTAAAGATGTGTAAGCATAAACTGCAATATAAAAATGGTAACCAATCTTAGCTTATTTAGCTTCCTTCCTCCTAGGAATTAGTTGGTTACTTTTTTAAAAGTAATTTTTCCTTTGAGCATACTTCATAGCATTGATATAATTGCCAAACTTGTCTCCTAAAATCCACAGTAGTACAGTATCTGAATCTGGCCTCAAGCTACAGTCTCATGAAGCAGTGCTTCCCGGTTTACTGTGGGAGAAAAGCCCATCACCCTCTTGTCACTGCCTTCCTCTTTACCCAGCATGAATCATCTTCATTTCCTCTTGCCTAAAAGTACCTTCCAGAGTCAGATCTACTTCTTGGACCTCTGGCATGTCACCAAGTCTGTGAGAAAGGTGACACAGAGGCATTGGAGACTACTCTGAGCTATTAAAAATAGTCTTGTCATAATTCCTTATGTGGGAGTGTTCAGACTTGTGCCAGGGGTTTTTTTGTTTTTGTTTAGTTTTGTTTTGTTTTTTTGGTACCAGGGATCGAACTCTGGACCTTGTGCTTGCGAGGCAGGCAGTGGAACCACTGAGCTAAATCCCCAACCCTGAGACTTGTTGATTCATATTGAAAACAGCAGAATGGAAAGAAAGAACTGAAGGCTACATGGTATAATCTGAAATAAATCTGGAAAGGAAAATAGAGATTAAATGTTTCTTGTGTGAGCTGGGCGTGGTGGTTCATACCTATAATCTCAGCTCGTTGGGAGGCTGAGACAGGAGCACGAAGGAAGAGCCTAAGCCTGGGCCACTTAGCAAGACCCTGTCTCAAAATAAAAAATAAAAAGGGCTGAGATATATACCTCAGTGGTAGAGAGACCCCCTGCATTCCATTCCTAGTTCCACAAAATAAAAATAAAATTCCCACGTGACTACTTGGCTTTGCCTTTGGTGTCAGCTAGAACTTAGCATTCTTTGTTTATCCTGTGTTTGTAGGGTGATGTTTCAAAGTATCTTTGGAGTTGCTGAAGGACATGGAACTTTTTTTTTTATTGAAACCAGTGTCCTAGCATAAATAATTTAATATTTTTAGTCTCTTTTTTCATTTATTTGTACATTTTCTACTTTGTCTCATCAGGTCCATCATCATTGTAGTATTGTCATCGTAAACTTAATTATAGAATTGTGGCTATTAGAGTCAGGAGAAGTGTAGAGTTCAAACGTACTTTATACTCATGAGAATTGTATATTGTCTTTGAAAATGGAAATTACGTACAGTTGCACTCTGCTAAAGATGGGCAGATGTTCAAAGTTCTCCAGATAGTTCACAGTGAATGGCCACCCCTGCTGAGGCTCTGTTCGTATGTTTGAAGTCATCACGGGAAGGGCAATGGGCCATAGCTCCTGCAGCCTGACCACAGGGCAGTGCTGATCTAACCCAAAGGTCTGTGTGGCTCTGGGACTACATAGGCAGACTGTTTTGAGGAAGCACTAGAACAGTATCAGGCTAGAAAAAGCTTGAGAGGTCTTACTGCTGCCGGGGTTTTTCTTTCTTGAATACCATCAGATTTGTAGCAGTTACTCTTAGAAATAGGAGAAAGAAGAAGAGACACTCTTCACACAGACATTTAAGGCCACATTGGTCTGAGGCTATCCCCCTGGGAAAGTTCTGAATTTTCTACACCTGCTTCATTGTGAACCAGATAGATATAAGAAGTTGAGAAGTGACAAACAAATTAAATATGTCTGGTGGATAATAAATGAATGGTGGCAATATGTGGAGCATGTGGGAAATTCTGGCAGCCAGAGAGAGGAGTCAAGTAATAATAGTGTGTCGTGCTGGTAAACAGCTTGCCGAGTCACAGACTGAATTGAAACCCACCCCACGCTAGCCAGAGAGGTTCTTACAGCTTGCTTCATGTCTCGAAGTCTGTTTCATTGTCTGCAAGATGGAGATAGTGGTAGTCAGTATCCTGATACTGCTAATCCCAGCCTGGTACCAGAGACTTCTCATTACAATGATTCATATAGGCCTGGATGATCAGTCAGAAGATCTAACCCTGGGCTGGAGATTTAGCTAAGTGGCACTGAGCCTGCCTTGCAAGTGCAAGGTCCTGAGTCCCATCCCCAAACTAAATATCTAACACTTCTGGAGGACGTTTGTGTCCACAAGTCCAGCGGGGCTGTGACTGGGTTGCGTGAGCAGGAGGCGTTCCTGTTCCTGGCCCCTTTCTCCCCTCTCGGAAGAAGTACTGCTGACGTTCAGGCCCGAGCCCTGCCTCTTTCCTTATGTAGCTGGATCTATTGAGCAAAGAGACGTTTCCTGGGAAGAAAAGTAGAATCCAGCTCAGTAGCTTGGTATAGTAAGTACACACAGATCTTCAAATGTATGAGAGAAAACAGCCTTATAGTTATGCGGCTGCTTTTAGTGACTTAATTTGCCTGTTATTTGGGGGCTTTCTTTTCAGAGCCAAGCAGTAGATCCAGAACAGTTCTCAAGTCAGGATTCCAACATTATGCTGGAGCAGAAGGCCCCTGTTTTCCCGCAGCAGTACGCATCTCAGGCACAAATGGCCCAGGGTAGCTATACACCCATGCAAGAGCCAAACTTTCACGCCATGGGACAGCGTCCAAGTTATGCCACACTCCGCATGCAGCCCAGACCAGGCCTCAGGCCCACAGGCCTGGTGCAGAACCAGCCAAATCAACTGAGACTTCAGCTTCAGCATCGCCTTCAAGCACAGCAGGTGAGTTATCCAGCGGGTCTTGGAGAGCCAGGGCTGGAGGGTGGGCATACCCAGCCAGGAGTTGGGGAGGGCAGTTACTTGGGAAAGGTGAGTGGAAGTAAAGTATGTTGTTTGAAAATGTTTTGACTCCTTTGTGTATGTATTTAGAATCGCCAGCCTCTTATGAATCAAATCAGCAATGTTTCCAATGTGAACTTGACTCTCAGGCCTGGAGTACCAACACAGGTAAGGGAGCAGACCAGCTCTCAGCTTTCAGCATACCTGTTATCTCTCTTGTCACTTCTTCTCCAGATAACTCAGTCAGTGATGGCAAACGTTTTAGAGACAAATGACCAAACTGCAACCCAAGACCCACTTATTTATCGCAAAGTGCCAGCACTGCAATTAAACCTGAATACTGAGGTTTTAGCTTAGAAAAAACAACTCATACATTAACATCTTTTGTCTTAAAAGAAAAACAACACTCGTGCCATAGGTTTGACACCACTGACCTGAGTAAAGTAACTTAGTGGGCCACCAGTTCCAGATCAACCCACTGGCTCTCACCAGCCCAGCTGTCTATGTACCTAGTCTGTTACTTTTTAGTTGCGTTCTGTAGACTGCAATTTTACTCCCAGATGCAGATGATCCTTGTTGTAGAGTTGCTGCAGACACTGAACTAAAGAATATTAAACTGAAAAAAAAAAAAAAAGGAATATTAAACTGTTGTTTCTAGGAGAAATACAGGCTTAGGTTTCTGCAACCCTCTGGTCACAACATTTTCATCAGCCCAGTCAACACATAACCTTGTTTTATGTAAGTTTCTGCTTAAAGACATCATGTGTATTATTGATTCCCTCACACCGAACTCAGCAGCCAGGAAATGGGAGCTCAAGCCTGAAGGAAGCTTCCCTGACACTCATATTTCCTCTGTAAGCACATCACAGCCTTACACATAGGAACATTAGACAGCACTTGAGCACTACACTTGGGGCCACTTTAAACAGTGAAATCTCCAACGAAAAGCACAATGATGTGAGAAACATGGAACCAGTTAGACCACAAAGGGATCCTTGTTTACAGTATGAGAAAAATGAGGAGGCAGAGCATCACCTTGTCCAACCTCAGCTGAAAGTGTGAGTGTTGGGCATCAGTGCTTCCGGTCCACGAGTGAACATGACAGTGCCATGAATGCTGACTTGGGAGGTGCAGATAAACTTTAGCATGTAGGCGACTTCAGGTAGAAGTGACCGATAAGGAGGACTGACTGTGTCTTCTGCAGACCCATAAACAGCCTCATACCTCTTCCTGACAGCACTTGCCAGGGATATAGCTTAGTGGCGCTGCGCCTGCCTGGCAAGTGTAAGGGCCCAAATTCAATTCCCAGTACCAAAAAAAAGAAAGACAGCATGCACTGATCGGTTCCCTTCACCCACCTTTTTTCGCTACCTCCTCACCTAGCTCTGTCCTGGCTCTTTATTTTATATGTTCCTCTACACCACTACACCTCCTTTCCTCCTGTCTTTGCTCATCCGCTTCTGAAGTGCTCCAGGTCTTATGGTGATTTTGTTCTCTTTAGATTTTAATGTTCCTGAAAGAGAGTGTAAGCTGCCATCCTCAGGCTTTATATGAGAGTCTTATAGAAAGGACTGTGTTCTTGTGAGGTCTTTTAGCTAACTGTACCCTCACAAAATGAGTTAACATTGAACTTAACCCTGCTAAGTCTGAGCAGAGGTTTAGAATCACCGTATCCGCAGAACTTAGAGCCTCATGTGCTCAGTCACCACTTGTTCGACTGAGTAGTTCCTTCTGTGGAATTTTATTTTCCAGACAGTTTTACGTGGACAGTGCCATTCGTTACCCTCTCTAATCTGTGTCTACCCCAATGTTTTCCTCCCTTCATTACCGTTGATTTCAGGCACCTATTAACGCTCAGATGCTGGCCCAAAGACAGAGGGAAATCCTGAACCAGCATCTTCGACAGAGACAAATGCATCAGCAACAGCAAGTCCAGCAACGAACTTTGATGATGAGAGGACAAGGGTTGAATATGACCCCAAGCATGGTGGCTCCTAGTGGTTTACCAGCAACCATGAGCAATCCCCGGATTCCCCAGGCAAATGCCCAGCAATTTCCATTTCCTCCAAACTACGGTACTGGATTTACATCCCCACCACCTTTCACCAGTCCTTTCTCCCCAGTGTCCCCCAGTCCTGGGTCACAGCTCCTCTCTCACAGCTCTTTGCATGGCTCCCAGATGAATCTGGCTAACCAGGGAGTGCTAGGAAACCTGGGAGGGCAGTTGGGGCCTGTCAGGAGTCCCCAAGTCCAGCCCAGTACCTTCCAGGCCCTCAGTTCAGGTACCTCTTTTTCTCTGAGTGCAGGTCTTACTTTAAGAATGCCCGAAGTAAGTGTGTATGTGTGGAGTGCGTGCATCTAGTGTGCGTGTGTGTGTGGAGATACTGTTCTTGTCAGTGTCTGTGAATGCGGCTGCATACATACTTAAATTTGAACACCTCTGAGTCTGACCCAAAAAAAGCAATAGACAGAAAATAATACTGAAAGACAAAATGTAAGCATTAGATATTCTATAACTTTAAAAAAATAAAGATTTTAAAGATTGTATGAAATCTTTCATGAATAATTCTTGAGAAGCGCTATATAGAAACCACAGTGAAAGATCTGTTAGTTTTCTTTGTATTGATTTGTTGTTTAATGTCAGTCTTTAGAGATGAGATACTAAATGTATAATGTCATAAATATTTGTGTGCATGTCATGTTTAATAGTTAAGCATTGACAAATATTGAGTGCTTTTATTAATATTCCCTACCCTTGTCTGAGTTAGCTATAGACAACTATTTATTCTTTATATTGGCTGAATTTCTTTAAAGAAACAAAAATAATGTGTAGTTTCTTTCCTGCATGATTTTGAACTTTTGTAGCTGATTTAAGTACTGGGGCAGAAGTCACTAGAAATTTACAAAAACTTAGCAATATACTTCTTGTTTTGGCGAAGGAACACCTCTAAGCACTAATTTGTCATAGAAACTACTGTGGGAGGTCATGACACATAAAAGCAGTCCTTTATCCATGCCTATGGTAAAACTACTGATTAAATATGCATGTTTAACAAGTCTTGGGCAAAAATGTATGTAACGCTATACCAAAAATATTCTAAGAAGTTATCTTCTTTCTTTTCTAACTCTATTCTTCTGTTTCTTTTTTGATAATTTAGAAAAGTCTGCTAAAAAGGGGTTTTTGGGGGGTTTTTTAGTTTATTTTAATTTTTTTGAGACAGGGTCTTACTATGTAGCCCAGGCTGCCCTTGAACATGTGGCAGTCCTCCTGCCTCAGCCTCCCAAGTGTTGGGATTACAGATTTGCACCATCACACTCAGATCTTTCTTTGTAGTGTAAATGCCATTTGTCTCAAAACTGAACAAGAAGTATACATTGAATTTTTTTTTCCTTACTCTTACTAATCTTGGATGGCAGTAAAGTACCATAGAGCCCTTCTTAAAGACAAAACAAAACAAATGGGAATAAACTTAAAATTTTTTTTTAATACCTCCATTTCAGCCAGGTGCAGGTGCACACTTGTAATCCCAGCTATGGAAGAAGTTAAACCAGGAAGATTCCAAATTCAAGGCAAGCCGAGGCAAGCTAGGGAGAGCCTGTCTTACAATAAAATTTTAAAAAGCAAAATGGCTGGTAGAGCACTTTCCCAGCACGTGTATCTAAAGCCTGGGTTCCATATCTGATATCACCCCCCAAAAAAATCTCACCGTGGAGTGACTTAAAGAAAAATTTATTCATGTATTGACTTTTGATAAATAGTTGAACTTTAATCCAGTTTATACAATCCAGTTGTAGTGATATTTAACAATTTAAAGACTTTGACTGTTTCAGGCCAAAAGAAATGTATATAGTTGACCCATTCTTGCTTTGGAGTGGGATTAGAGGGAAGAATATCCTCTAACTCCAGCCACAATTCCTTCCCTTTTTTTAAATTGAAATAGCTTTTTGTTTTGAGACAGGGTCTTACTATGTAGTCCAGGCTGGCCTCAAACTTGCAGCGGTCCTTCTGCCTCAGCCTCCTAAGTGCTGGGATTGCAGGCATGAACCACTACATCTGGCTCTCTTTTTTTTGGCACCAGGGATCGAACTCAGGACCTTGTGCTTGTGAGGCAGGCGGTAGCACCACTGAGCCAGCTCCCCGGCCCCTCTGGGAATTTTGAGATAGGTTCTTGCTAAGTTGCCCAGGCTGGCTCGAATTTGTAATCTTCCTGCCTCAGGCTCCCAGAATGCTGGGATTATAGGCTAGCCCCATGTCCAGCTTTTTTCATACATTCTATCTTAGCTTAGAATCTTTAAAGTGTATGTGATTCATCACCACATGGATCATTTATTTGAAACTAATTTTCTGTGGATACTTAAGTTAGAATGTTCTTTTACTTTAGTGTGTCTCTGATAAAACTAATAATATCTTTGGGTTTCTGTTTTGTTTATTAAGGAATAAGTCAGCAACCTGATCCAGGCTTTACTGGGGCTACGACTCCCCAGAGTCCTCTAATGTCACCCCGAATGGCACATACGCAGAGCCCCATGATGCAGCAGTCTCAGGCCAACCCAGCCTATCAGGCCCCCTCAGACATGAATGGATGGGCACAGGGGAGCATGGGTGGAAGCAGGTAACTCCCTGGCTCTGTGTCTTCATTATATAAACGGTCACCAGGGAAACTTTCTGTGGACTACCCGTTTCTTTTGTTTGTTTTTAAAATTTATTTGCTTAAGCATCCATTATCAAATGAACTGCTAAGTAAGCCAGCTTACTCTTTCTGGGGCAGAAGTCACTAGAAATTTACAAAAACTTAACAATATACTTCTTGTTTTGGCGAAGGAACACCTCTAAGCCCTGATTTGTCGTAGAAACTGCTGTGGGAGGTCATGACACATAAAAGCAGTCCTTTATCCATGCCTATGGTAAAATCAAACAAAAAGTTCCTCCGATGCTGCTGGGAAAGTGGAGGATACACTTCGACCACCACAGTAATTTACTGACAGGAAACAGCTTGGTCACCCCTGCAGCTTTGTGGACCACTTTCCCTGTTTGAAGCCTCACCCACTCCACCACCTTCCATTGTACCACTGGGTTCGCGCAGTACTGATTTGCTCATTTGAAAGTAAATGCCTGAGAAACAGGTCTTCGAAACTGCCCGCTACTGTTTGCTGTCAGGCTCTAGCATTTTATTTCCTCTTTTCCTGTGTTCCAGCATGTTTTCACAGCAGTCTCCACCACACTTTGGGCAGCAAGCAAACACCAGCATGTACAATAACAATATGAACATCAATGTATCCATGGCGACCAACACGGGTGGCATGAGCACCATGAACCAGATGACTGGACAGATCAGCATGACCTCAGTGACCTCCGTGCCTACGTCGGGGCTGTCTTCCATGGGTCCTGAGCAGGTGAGTGCTGAGGAGCAGACCAGTGTCTTCCTTTTGTCTTTCTACATTAACAGCATCTTTCCGTGGACCTCAACTTTCCATCTGTCCTCAGCTCCCACATTTTTTTTTAACAGAGTTTTTTTTCACCTTATTTTCACCTGTTAATGATGAAATAAACATGAAAGGATTCCTAACTGCTGAAGGATTTCTAAAAATAGTTAACTTTCACATCATGTAACATTTTTCTTTTATTTGAAGAATTTAGCAATATCTAAAATTAATCTCAAAAAATGAGATGGTGAGTGTACAGTTTGCATAGCTTTATTTTGAGTCTGTGGTTTAAGAACAGGCTTTTTTCTAAATGTAAAACCAGATAAAGCTGGATGCGGTGGTGCATGCCTGCAATCCCAGCACTCCGTAAGCTGAGGCAGGAAGATAAGGCCAGCCTGAGCTACATAGTGAGACCTTGTCTAAAAAAAAAAAAAAAAAAAACTCTGGTTGATCCAGAGGTAAAGCTGTAGGTTAGTACTTTTCACAATGCATTTATAGCTGGGGATTTAGCTCAGTGGTTTCGCCGCCTGCCTTGCAAGCACAAGGACCCAAGTTCGATCCCCAGTACCAAAAAAACACATTGGATTTATAGAATTTTTTTTTTTAAACAGGGTCTCATGGTATAAAATCTTATTTTTTAAGGTCCCAAAATGCTGATCATTCTAGTCTGATCCTTGATAGTTCATTTGAAGTAAAAATATGGCAAGGACTCTGACTTTTGTTTTAGTTCTGACTTTGAACTCACAGAGATCTTTCTGCCTCGGCCTCCAAGTGCTGGGATTCTAGGCATGTACCACCATGCCTGGCTTGGGTCTGTTTAATTCTGATGGTAGTAAATCACAATTTTTGTGAAAATTTACTGAATGTTACAAAGCCTCAGTGTTTTATTCTGTGAAATGATGATAAATGAACATGTAAGGTGGCACATGAGAAAATTGGAAGGCCTTTACCATGTAAGAAGGCTTTATGCTTACGGTGGTGACTTACGTGACTGCTATTGATGATGGTGGCTAAACACTCAAGTAAATTCGACAGACACAAATTAAAGAAATAGAGAATTTTCAGTGAGGAAAAGATAGGTTTGATACTGAATTTCCTTCAGGTATTGGCCACTAGTGACTTCTGATTTGCTTTCTCAGGAACACATGCAAGGTGAGGCTCGCTGGGTACTGTGATGTGGCCCAGTCCTCCTGGTCCAGCCCACACAGAAGTAAATTGATACTTGTTTTTTGTTTTTGTTTCTGTTTTTTTATGGGAGTGGTGGCACTTGGAATTGAACCCAGGGCTTTCACACTGAGCCACACTCTGAGCCCATTTTTTAAAATTAGAGTTAATCAGGAAGCAAAAAAAAAAAACAACTGTAGTGTGTCATCCGATAAAAGTCATTCTCTCTTAGCATATGTACATTTACTTTGTAATTTGTAAAAGAAATATACACAGTTAACACATGGTTTGCTTGGTCAGAGTAGATTCACAGAATCCAGCACCACATTGAGAGCTTCACACTTGTTCTTACTGATTAATTACTTGCTTAAATAGCAAAGGTATCAAGTCTCTCAGATGACTACCCAGTTCCAAAAGTGAGTCACTGGTCTAGTTTAAACTAGCCAAGAAAATGAACAGGTATGAAAATGCTTCTAGTATTACTGCCCGTGCTGAGTTTGATTTCTGTACAGAAAGCAAATGTAGTTTTATTTTGAAGACAGCTGGTCTAAGTATTCCCTTCCATGTTTCTCTATACTCTCCCTGGCGTGGATACACTGAGAACAAGTGCAGGGGTGAGCCCTTTTTATGTTGTCTCTCTTCCCGTTGTTATACACTCCTAGAAGCAGGGCTCAAGGTGATGGTTGGTGTTTTCCAGTACTTTGGAAGTCCCATCCTCATGTCTTGTCACCTGCAGGTAAATGATCCTGCTCTGAGGGGAGGCAGCCTTTTCCCAAACCAGCTGCCTGGAATGGATATGATCAAGCAGGAGGGAGATGCATCACGGGTAAGAAACGTGGGCAGGGAGCGCATGAATATGGTAGTGATGCAAGCACAAGGGTTCTACAGGCAAAAATTGGCTTAGATTTATTATCAACCACCACATTGAAGACAGTGGCAAAATATCTTCTAATTTCATTTGACATGCAATGCTTTTGTGTGACTGACTCTTTTAGTACCGGGGATCAAACTCGGGTCCTTGTGCTTCCGCAGCAGGTGGCGAAACCACTGAGCTAAATCCCCAGCCCTGTGTGACTGACTCTTTAAGCTTGTTTTAAGGCATCTGATGGTGGCAAGTGAATTAAGAACCCTAAATTTGCACTGAAATGATATTATACCAGAGCAAAACTAAAATAGCAAAGAATTAGTTATATTAGAGCAAACTTTGATTTATTGTTGCTTTTTCTGAATTACAATGTTAGATTTTTTTAGGCTGATGAGAGGAATTAATATTTCCCCTCTCCCTGTTTCATTGTGTTTAAGCAACAATCTTATGTATTATTTGCCTGTTACACCTTAACACTTGTTACACTTGTTCTGAGGAGAGGATTACCATAGTTGTCCAAATCTTGAAGCCTGGAACTAAAAATGTGTGCCAGGCTGCAGCTGTGTTTCAGGGACGGCTCTGTGAGCAGCTTGGTGTATGGGCAAGAGGGCATGCGTGGCCCACTTAGGAAAGGGATGAACCCTCAGGAGTAAATAATTCTTTCTTAAAAACTCTGTCCCAGTGGAAAAAACATAAGGTCAATGTTGAATTTCCTCAAAAAGGTGGATCTTGGATGGTCTTTTGTCAGACCTAGCATTCAAAGCCAGGAGTGTTAGCACACGCCTGTAATCCTAGCACTCTGGGAGGCTGAGACAGAAAGATCACAAGTTCAAGCCCAGCCTAGGCAATTTAGCAATTCAGTGAGACCCTGTCTTGAAATTTAAAAAGGGCTAGGGATGTAGCTCAATGTGAAGGCCCTGGGTTCACTCTCCTGTACCCAATAAATAAATAAGCGTTCAAGTTTAGAAATAGCATAAATTTAATCATGTTTTAACAACATTGTATTGATTTTCTCCATGTGGCTGCTGTTGTTTTTTAAGAACCACAGCAGTCCACCACTCCTGTACAATATAGTTCTGGAAACATTAGCCACAGCAATTAGAAAAGAGAAAGAAATAAAAGGAATAAAGATAGGAAA